TGTGTCTTCCTCCACATTTGTTTCCCACATTTGCTTTCTCTATCAGTCTCTGTCACTGTATATCCTTCAACATTCTTCACCATATCTTTCCTTCAACTTTTCCTTTCTTTTTAAATGTCCCCGATTAGTGCGCTACTTGTGGTACTGACTAGAAGTTTGTCGACACGTTAATAAAGTTTATGTATGTGACTTGCCCACTTCCAAAATATTGGATTGGACATCAGTCCTCCTTTCTTACTTTCGCAAACAAAGATTCATTTGGATATTACATTTGAAGTAGCCAAGCTCTGGTTTTGTCGACCATATCATCTATCAACTATGATCAGATGTTTGACGAAACTGCTTGAAGCTGACGGAGAACGCAGCACAAACCTTAGCCGACTTGAGTCAGTTATCAAACGTTCCATCATTGAAAAGTTCGGAGCGTTTGAATCTACTTAAAAAAACCGTCAAGCCATCTTATACTTTTGTCTTGGTATCACAGCATCTCCAAGATAACAGCTAAAGATGTCACGTTTGTAAGCTAGCTATCAGTCGAGTTCAAGGTACCTGTCTTTTGGCTATTAACCCCTATTGATATTACATAGCGAGAGGTCGCTGTTCGTGAGAATGAAACTGAAAACTAGTCTTTTATCTTGATCAGGGCACACTCGGTTTAATTTCCTATCTAAAGTAAATAATTGTAATCGCATTGACGGATGAAAATGGTCGAAACTATGGTAACACGAGCACCCGTCAGGAGGACTTGTTTTGCGCGCATGCGCACGTTTAGTCGTCTTTGGAATAAAAAGTTTCAGGTCGCATTAATCACCCATAAATCGTTATGTAATATAAACACAGTGGATCATTAGAATTTCCATTTTTAAACTCATGTTCGCCAATCTAGTGGCACGTACATCAGGTTTGTCCATCTACAAGGTTATGCAACAACAACTAAAATTAGAAATCAAGCAGACATTATACGGGTTTAATGGGTAAAATAAATATCTAATTGATTAGTCCAGTATCAGTCTCTTGTCTCGTGACTCTGCTCTGTCGTGATGCATTAGGTCAACATGCCAAACCTCACCACAATAAAAAACAGTACAGTTATTGTACACCCCTCGATCCTTGGGCCTTTTATCGATCGATATTTCAAACAATATAGTACAAAGAGCGTAGGATGGTATTTTTGAGGTTATGATGGTACAGAGTTCGTACGAACCGGATATACTTCATCAATTATCTGAAGTCACAGTTTAGTAAAGTGTTAGTCATGCGAGACGAGCCCATTTCCTAACCCCTATATACGGCTAATCTGTTATTACCCACCCATGCACGTATCAAATACTTTGGCATATCTCATTACGGTACTATAGCTCCCTCTACAGAGTTTACAGTTTTGTGCAGTTCATTTGCTTCAAATATTTCAAGACGGCGTCCCGATCTCCAATGCTTTTGATCTTAAAAATACTTTTGGAATTAAGGGATTTGGCGATCAATGATTACGTAGATCTTGGTATCTAAGGAATCACATATTTGACATGAAGATGGTGATGTTTGGAAGCGAGCAAAATAACGACGAATTCACAGAAATTATTATAAGCATCGACGAAATTGAGGACGAGAAAAGTATCCCCACTTTGACAGGTAAATTATACTTTCAAGCAGATAAGCCGTCGTTTTAAGCAAACTATTTAATGTCTTCTCAAACTTTAATGTTTATTTGATGAAGTGTCTAATAGCCTAAAATAATTCGCGCGCACTCGATTCTTAACTTATGAAGTGATATTCATGAATTGATAAAAGTTAGATCTTACCAATTTCTATTTTAGATGTGATATTTCATTTATTTATTGAGTGTGTAGAGGATAATTCGTAGGGATGTAATCTAGGTGAACTTGTGTTGGTCGTTTGCCCGTCACTCGTGGCTAATTACAAGTCGTTTGTAAAGATGATTCATTAGAGTCACAAATGATTTAACGTAATTTGTTAGTAAGAATCTATTCAAGTACATAATATTGAGAGCTCCGTCTAAACGTGAATGAGGTCACGATAATTTTCACTAGACAATTCTTAGAAATTATAGTTTAGATTACAAATAAATAAGGCGTTCCAGTATAATGTATGAAAAGTATTCTGTAAACAATCATCTTAGCTCGGAAACCGTCCTTAACTTGAGAATATTTCTCAGAATGTTCATATATATATGTGTGTATATATACCATTATATATATATATATA